ATTACTAGAGAGAAGAGCAGCACCATCCCAGGAGGGATGAATACCATCTCTTTTCAACAGGTCAGGCTTGCCCCAAAAACTTTTCCAATTGTCTATGAATTCTACATTATTTTGCGGACACCACTCAGACAGCCAGCGATTCAGTGAGGCCAATCTACTAACTATCTCATCACTCCTGCGAACAGGAAGTAGCACTAGTTTCTGTCTGACGTCCATATTCGCGTGTTGTGTTCTTCGTCTTCTTCGCTGGGTATTGGCGCGCGTGCTGTTTCGCGTTATTTCCGGTTCGTTTTATCGCGTGATTTTTCGTGACAAAACGTGGTTTGTAGACAAGATAGAATCGTTGGGTGACAGAGTTGTTGTCAACTCGTGTTGTGCGTTACCTTGTTGCGGATCAATAACATTGTTTCGTGTGGTGTGAACAGCTCAACAACTTGAACACTCCTGATTTCACAGAGAGCAAGTCATGTAGTGTGAACCGCACAGTTCAGCCCGACGTTTTAAAATCATGTAGTGTGAACTAGGCTTTAAAGACTTCAGACTTGACACGGACTCCAGCTTAAAGACTCCAGATTTGACTCAGACTCCAGTGATAAAGACTTCAGACTTGACTCAGACTCCAGTGATAAAGACTCCAGACTTGACTCCGACTCTAGGGATAAAGACTCCAGACTTAACTCAGACTCCAGTGATAAAGACTTCAGACTTGACTCAGACTCCAGTGATAAAGAATCCAGACTTGACTCAGACTCCAGTGGTAAAGACTGCAGACTTGACTCAGACTCCAGCTTAAAGACTTCAGACTTGACTCAGACTCCAGCTTAAAGACTTCAGACTTGACACGGACTCCAGCTTAAAGACTCCAGACTTGACTCAGACTCCAGTGATAAAGACTGCAGACTTGACTCAGACTCCAGTGATAAAGACTCCAGACTTGACTCAGACTCCAGTGATAAAGACTCCAGACTTAACTCAGACTCCAGTGATAAAGACTGCAGACTTGACTCAGACTCTAGTGATAAAGACTGCAGACTTGACTCAGACTCCAACCTAAAGACTTCAGACTTGACTCGGACTCCAGCTTAAAGACTTCAGACTTGACTCGGACCCCAGCTTAAAGACTTCAGACTTGACTCGGACTCCAGCTTAAAGACTTCAGACTTGACTCGGACCCCAGCTTAAAGACTTCAGACTTGACTCGGACTCCAGATGAAAAACTTGTGAACATATCTGCTATAGTTATACTAATAGAGATATTAAACACATTTTAAATCTTAATATTAAGAAGTGTGCATTGTGCAATAAAGAAGTACTTAAAATAAAGCGTCATTATATTGATATCAGTAAGTCTCAAGCGATATGTCAGTCAAAATGACCCAGGGCAGAGCTTGCTAGGGAGACCGCAGCTTCACTGCGTCTACCCACAACTCTCAAGAGGAAGGGGGCAGACCAAAGCAATGCTGTCCCACCATCTGAACACCTGGCCATAAGCTCTCAGGTGTAACCTAACCAAAGGAAGCATAGAATAATCCTCCTGTCCTTAGGGCTTGAAGAGGCCTCAGGAGAGAGCCATGCTCTACTCTACCTAAGAAAAACCCCAAAAGTGCTTTCTGGAAGCCTAGTGAGAGAATACTTGAGAATGGAGCACCTATAGCGGCATTCATATCCTCCTGCTCTCTATTACTGACCAGCCAAAAGTTGTTGCCCCTGACGACACCCCACCTCCATAATCCGGAGGGAGCCACGAAGAAAGAGGGGTGCCATGGCAATAACAACCACTTCTTTCCAAGAACTCCATTACCGAAAGACTTGCAAAGGAAATTCCACCTGTTAGCCTAGTGGCCCTGTCGGCTAGTGGTTAAACAGTCCTACGGTTCTAGTGAGGAAACGTAGATTCTACCTCTGCCAAAGTACTGGCAGAGAGTGGGTCGCAATGGGAATGATGTTCACCTTTATGCTCTGTCCTTCCATTGCTCCTCATGACCTACCAGGAAACCGTATTGACATAGCAGATGAGGGAGTGAGACCCCCGTGTCCATGCCCATTCTCCTCTCCTGTGTAGCCCATTCATATATGATTACATGGGTAAGCAAAATTAATGCAACCTCCATATCTATTTGAATCGGAGGGGCTGACATATAGGAAAGCTGGATGCTGTTAGTGGTCATAGAGAGTTTTTCAGAGTTGTTTTTCTTAGCCACTCTGTCCCCACTTCTGTAGGCATATTCTTTGGCATGATGAAGCTGTCTGAGTTTTGCTATGATCCATGGATTGTAATTATTGTATGTTAAATGAGTTCTGGTAAGAATGCACATATCCTCACAGAAACTGATATATGATGTTACAGAATCTGTGAGCTAATCCAGATATGTCAGCAGCTTTTAAAACACTCCAATCGGTACACTTTAAACAGGCTTGTAATGCCCACTCTGTTTAGTTGGTCCATCTCTTCACAGTCCTTACTACAGCTTTAGATGATTTAAGTTTCTGCCTGTAGGATGGTATAAGACGAATCAGACAGTTATTAGAGAGCCCCAAAGTTGCACGTGGAACAGAGTGATATGCATCATCATTGTGGTGTAACAGTGGTCAAGTATATTACTGTCTCTGGTAGGACACGTGATGTAACGAGCTGTCTGTATTTTGGCAGTTCAAGAGAGTTGCTTTATTAAAGTCCCCAGGAATGATTATAACAGAGCCAGAGTGTTGTTGCTGATCATCCAACTGATCATCCAACAAGGAATTAACAAGGAAAACTCCCGCACGGAATAGAAAGGCTTACAGTTGATTAAGAGCGCTTCTAGTTCGGCACAGCTCATCTTCTTCAACGCTGTTACATCTGTCCAGTGTCCACCACCTTTTTCTGATGTAGAAACATGTCCCACCGCCTCTTGATTTCCCCGCTGATTCTGCATCGCGATCAGCTCTGGACATCTCGAAGCCCAGCAGTTGTAATACGGTTTCCAGAATGCCTTTTTTTCAGACAGGTTTCCGTGGAACAGTGCAGTAGAGTTGGAAAATTCCTTATTTGTTCGGGACAGAAGAAAAAGTTTGTCTGTCTTTTGGGGTAGAACAAAAACACAGTTCTAAAGCTGTGCTGTGCACCAGGCAAGCATGGGAGTACACTGGTGCGCCGGCTTTCTTCCCGCGCTTTCGCGTCTTAGAGTGCTTTAGCAATGCCGCTCCAAATATACAAACAAATGGCTTACTGAAGACAAAGAAGCTGATGATGATGTTTTCTCTAGGTGCCCTTTTCTACCCTGTCCCATGACCTGACCAATCAAGACTGCCATGTATTCACACGTGCTTCAGACACTGGCTCACACGAAACGTTCCCATAGCGTCAACTCCATGACACAGCGCCACAGTCCCACTTCAAAAGGAAACTAGGTTAAACATTTTCAAGAAAGTAAAATGAGTTTTAAAATCGATAATTTAAATTGCTCCAAATTCATATATTATTGGTCATTTTATTTTGATGTGTTTAATTTGAATTGCAAATACTTGTAAATGTCAAGTCAGGTCATGTCATCTTCATTTATATAGCGCTTTGAACAATGGAGATTGTTTCAAAGCAGCTTTACAGAGATAAACATACAATTTACGGTAACAGAGATTGTTTTGGCTTTATAGCGATTTTTGAATAATGTTATTTTCAGCTAAAGTTAGTTTTGATTGATTCACTTCCAGCAAAATTATCATTTGTTATTACATTAGGGGCCACTAAGACGACACCGTTCTCTCTAAACAGACTTTAAACGCGAACCTGTGACCTGATGGCGTTCACATGCGCATTAAAAATTGATTCTATAGTTATATTCGTTTGAATATATGTGCGCAGGTTTGTAATTTCCCTACAAACCATGCCTAAACAAACTACTTGTCTTGCCTATACATTTGATAAAGAATTTTGTTTTATTTTATCACTTTGTTGTACACAAACCGGATTTTCAACAACGGTTTATCTGTAGAGTGGGAAAGAAATCCTCCATAGGGAGAGGATAGTTAACACTTCAGCACTGCATTGTCATCGGGTCCAGGCGAATCTCCTTCGTCAGATCTGGATACGGCCTGAATCCAGCAGGCTGCGGGAAAACCTAAAGTTAGCGTAGATGCCATTCTTCTTATGATGTAACGAGTACATCAGGATTTAAGGGAAGTGTTCCCAGTTCCGGCTGACCTAATCTATGCAGCCTAACATTGAATTATAGAAGAGATGTGTTTTTAGTCTAGCTTTGAACTGACAGAGTCTGTCTGCTTCCCAGACAATGGTAGGAAGACTGTTCCAAAGTTTTGGTGCTAAATAGGAAAAGGATCTATCGCCAGCAGTCGATTTTGATATTCTAGGTATTATCAACTGGTCGGAATTTTGAGATCGCAAGAGATGTGAAGGACTATAATGCGTTAAGAGCTCGCTCAAGTACTGCGGAGCTAAACCATTTAGTGCTTTGTAAGTAATCAACAATATTTTAAAATTTGTACGATGTTTAATAGGGAGCCAATGCAGTGTTGACAGAACCGGGCTAAATGCTAAATGGTTACTATCGTGGTGTATGTGTGTTTTTTAGATGCTGCTCCGACAGGGATCTGCAACAGATCTGCAAAGTCAAGGGACTGTTGCTGGTCTCATGGCAGCATGATTTATTTGAACTACAGGAATTTTGGTATTTATCAAAATATGAAATATTTTGTAAAAATATCAGAAATATCATGAATGGATCCAATTGCGGCAAATTTCTATCAGGATGTTCTGCCAACACTATACTAAGATTAAGGTTATGGTTTAGGGGGTAATATTTGTTGCAATGTTGTGCAGCCAATCAGCCCTGCGATTGAAATGCCTTTAGAATTGGCAGGGTTTGTTCTTAACTGGCTTAAGGATAAAAACATGCTTTTACGTCACATAAAACACCACATTATAAAGTTTGTGTGAGAATTTAATATTCAAAGCTTTATACCCTCCTCTCATGTTCTGATAAGTATCTGATATTTTCCTGTAGATGCTGAAGAAGATCAGAACAGAGGAACCACATGAGGAGAATACCACCACTGAGCTTGATGCTCTTCAACACACCGACTGGGTAAAAGACGTGCTTATTAGAACAGTAGTTGAAATGGTAGTTTAATTTACTCATATTTGTCTTTGTGATGTCCAGCAGTGTATGAGCTATGGTTCATGTAATAATGGAAACTGTGTGTGTTTGTCTTTTGTTCACTTAGACTCGGCTGTGGGTGCAGCTGATGAAGGAGTTGAGGCAGGGTGTGAAGCTCAAGAAGGTGGAGGAACAGCCGTTTAACCCTCTTCCCACGGAGTTCAGCCTCACGCCCTTTGAGATGCTCATGCAAGATATTCGTTCACGCAAATATAAACTTCGCAAAGTTGTAGTGAGTCCATTCTAACTATGCTTACTCATGCTGAGGGCAGTGAGGTTGCAGTAGTAAGCACATTTTAAGTGGTTTATCCCTGAATTAATCTTATCCTAACTCGGTAAGTCGACTATATTATGTGTGAGATTATGGCTTTGGAAAGACTTTTCAGCTGATGCAGCATGACAGTGATTAACCATTGTTTTTATATTTGATACTAACTATAATATCATGAATCGATGCCTCTTCTTTTGCAGGTAGATGGAAATATTCCCACGTGTGTTAAACGAAATGCTCATGAGCTGATTTTGGACTTTATCAGATCAAGACCCCCTCTTAAACCAGTTAGTCGCTGATAATATCTTGTATTATCAATACTTAATGTGCAATAACACCATGTCCTAACCAGACACAATACAAATACAATTTCTTACACTAACACTTTTTAGTTAACTTTACTTACCGGTACATTTCTTAACTTAATTGTAAAAATCTATAGCAATCTGTACTATTCACATACTATTTCATGATTACTCAGAAAACCCAAGTTCAGAGTTAATCCAAGAACCCAAGTTAATTGATTAGTTTGAGTGCCATTTTGTCAAGAAAAAAAAAATAAAAAATTTTATTTCCTGTACTTCTGCCAATATCTTTCTCTAGTTGCATTCACTCATTTCCCAAAGTCATCTTGAATATTGAATTGTCAATACAACTGAAAAACTGAGAGAACCACATAAGCTGACTTCATAAATTGATGTTGATTTTCCTAAAAATGTTTTTGTTTGTAGTGTTCCCTATGGTTGGGCACTTGGACCTTCATTTATATTATTGTAATTCTCCTCCTATTGATGCAGTGATGAAACAAGAAATCACAGTTATTTGGTTTATAGGTCAAGAGTATGGGTCACGAATTCCGTTTTCATGGTAACTGCGACTTATGTGATTGGTTGATCTCTCTTCATGATTATGGGTAGTGGTGTTTTTAACTCTGAATTTTTAAATGTTAATTTGGTCCCGTTTTATATATCATTTTATAGGTGTCTTTAACTACTATTTATATATTAAAAATGTGATTAAATTCAGGTACTTTAAATGTAAGTACAATGTAACAACATGTATGTACAAGTATGTAGTAATTTGCATCAAATGCTGTATTTTAATGTAGGCAGAGACATTTAAATATAAAAACAAAATTGAAAGCATTTTTGCTTTTAGTTACAACAAGACAAACTACTTGTAACTGAAAATGTATTACATTGTGCCAGGTTTGGACATGGTGTAAAACTTAACAAGTATTTTAAAAGTGCCTAGTTCTTTATTGTGAGATTAATTGTTTTTAGGAACTGTTGTGTTTGATTGTGAAAATGTCATCTTTCTCAAACATAGCAGTCTGCCTTTCCTTGAAATGGCGATTTATATTAATTATCATAGCCAGTATTGCGTTCACAGCTCTCTCTAAAGAAGAGAAAGAAAGTAAAGAGTGGTCAGAGAAAGAGAAAGAAAACCATCACCAATATGGACAGTTTTGTTTGAAGACTTTCCTGACATCCGCAGGTATCTGAGCGCTGTTTGCCTCCTGCCCCTCAGCGACCGCAGTCGCTCCACGATCGAGTCCTGGCTGAGATCAGACAGGATCACAAACTGAAACCTGTGGAGCCGCACAGTACGAAGAGATGTATGTTAATCTCGTATCACACCGGAACAATACAAGTTTTAGAAACAGCGTCCTTAACAATATCCTCCTTGACTTCTGTAGTTCTATTCAATTGTTTGTTACGTAGATCACTCACAGCAATGTTTTGTCACTCTTCAGCATTTGGCTCATTACCATGTCTGGCACACACCTGCCAATGTGACATCAAATCCACTTCCTGCATTGACCTGTCAGTCGCAGGAGCAGCGTACCGGCCACCGTCCCGCATACGTGTTCTGCTAAAAGCTCCAACACTGGCAGAAATGGAGGAGATGAATATATTTGAGGTAAGATATTTCAGTGCAGCCAGCATTTCTTTTATGATCTTGCTCTTTCCTTTGTGGCAGCAATGGTCATGGAGAAAATGTAGACTTTAAGGAAGAGTTGCATACTTTAACCAGCATAATTCACATGAGAATTTCAGAAGCCGGTTTGTTGGAAAACTCTGGTAGATCTCGCTGACTTAGTTTGTTTGATTTGTATTTTTAATTTAAATAATTGCGCCTCTATGTTTTTTATGAAGGATGAAGAATCTCCAGATGGTGTGGATATCAGGCGGGTGGAGAGCTCTCCTACACCTCTGAAGAGAGATCGCTCCTTCTCTGAACACGACCTGGATGAGCTCAGAGGGGAAATGATGTCATCCCGCTCAGAATCCCCTCAGCTCACAGGCGTTGGTTCCCTGAGAGGAGAGAGACCTCGATCACACACGCTGACGGGGGTCAGACCACCACACATCTATCAAGGTCAGACCTGGGTAAACATCTGTAAGACGGAAAAGTTGCTCAGCAAATTTAACGAATATATAATTATATTTTTCTGTCAAAAAAAGGGTGTCAACATTAAACTTGAACACATTTATTGTACATTTACACTAAATACAACTAATAATGCTTAAAAACACAGTATTTATTTTATTTAAGGACCCCCAGAGGTGAAAATCAAGTTTTTAATGTTGTTTATATGTCTATGTGGTGTTTTTAATATGCTTTAAAACAAATCATGTGCAAATTCATAACTCAACAGCATTGCTGAGTATTTTCTCCTTAAAACTGCAGTGAACCAAAGACAGTTTCAAGAAACGTGGTTTGAAATCGTTGGTATTTCTTACGTCACAAACTACCTTGTAACCAATCAGGTCAACGTAGTGGGTGAATTATGTATATGATGTATATTACAATGTTATGATGAACTATATGCCATTTTCCACTGACGTTCTAAGTAGTTCAAAGTGTTTCTAAGGATGTTGATTTTTAGAAGGCAGCTGTCCGGCTCTGAGCTGAGGAACATGGTTTTTGTAACATTAATGGTCATATTAATTACAGTAATGTGTCCGACGTTGTACAGAGCAATGCATAAAATGCATTACCATTCTGATAGGCTACATCGACTTGTAGACGACCCTGTATGAGTGAGGCGGGGCTCATTTGCATATTCACGGATCCACATATACTAAATAAAGCAAGGGTTTAGAGTTACATTCAAGTTATTTTAAGGTATTAAGTTATTTTAAACCTCTGGGTAGGAGAGGATCCCTCTTGTCCTTTGTGTTCATCACCTGCCACATTAAGGCACATTTTGACAGGATGTAAGGTGGCTCTTAGCCAAGGTCGGTTTACTTGGCGCCATGACCAAGTACTGCGATGTTTGGCTTTAGCATTGGAAGGCAAGCGTAACATGACCAATAAGTTGCCACCTGTTCTAGCAAAACATTACACACAGAAGACAACATTCCTCCGCCCAGGCGAGCAACCACCAAGAAAAGGTGTTAAAACCAATTCTCGCCCAGGTCAACTGGAAGCTGCTAGGGACTGGAAAATGCTGGCTGATCTCGATCAACGGCTTATTTTTCCACCTGAGATTGCCACCACTAACCTATGACCAGATATTGTTTTGTGGTCTGGATCAGCACGCATTATTCAACTAATAGAGTTAACAGTGCCATGGGAGGATGCGGTAGATGAGGCATATGAGAGGAAGAAACTGCGGTATGCTCATCTGGCCACTGAAGCAGAACAGCGAGGATGGAGAGTCCAGGTTTATCCAGTGGAAGTGGGTTGTCGAGGTTTTGTGGCACACTCTACAACCCGGTTCCTCAGAGACGTCGGATTCAGCGGCCAAGAGTTGCGTCGCACAGTAAAGAACTTATCTGAAGCAGCAGAAAGGAGCAGCAACTGGCTGTGGTTGAGACGGAAATATTCTGGCTGGCTGTGTACAGGCCGCCACGCTACGGTTTCGTAGAATTCTTGAAAAACTCGAAGAGTCTGTTGGTTTATTTGTATAGTTTGCATAGTAATTACAGTTATTACGTTCCTGTGTATATTGCGTGAATGAGGGTTGGTGTTTGGGCAGATATTGGGCCCTATCTTGCACCCGGCGCAAATGACTTTGTACACTGACGCATGTATCATTCCTATTTTGCACCCGCGCAAAGCGGACTTTTCCCTCCACAGACACACGTCGGTTAACTAAGGGTGCTTTCACACCTGGATCGATTGGAGACGTTGTTCCGAAACAAAGGGGCGTTTCCCTTTTGGCCCGGTTCGTTTGGTCATATGTGAACACAACAATCGCACTCTGAATCGGAACAAAACAACCGAGCCGAGACCGCCTAGAAGAGGTGGTCTCGGCTCGATTCCATACGAACCCTGGAGCGGTTCGTTTGTAGTGAGAAGACAACCGACCCACGAACCGGAACAAATCAATAGGCAAGGTGGTCTCGTACCTTTATGTACTGCTGTCGGAGTTTTTTCGCCTTTGCGCGGCACTGCTCGACGGACCGTTCATAACCCCTCTCTTTCATTTTATAGCTGATCTTCTTGTACACTTCGGTGTTCTTGTGTGTAGTGTCCAATATCCGGGAGATGTGTTCTTCCGACCAAATATCTATGAGGCATTTCACCTCTTCGTAGCACCAAGTCAACCCGCGATTCATTTTGTGTTAGGCTACTGGCTACTGTTGTCATGGCGATGTCCCACAATGGAATGCGCGAGCGCGACCTGAACGCATGAGGTAGTGACGAAAAGGCGTAAGGAAAGCCCTGGAAGGGTGCGCGATTTGGACCGCTTTACAACAGTGTGGTGTGAACAGAGTGACGGATTAAATTGATTCGGAACAAAGTATTCTGTTTCGGATCTGTTCCGGAACAAAACAAATCGATCCAGGTGTGAAAGCACCCTAAGAAATACACTTGCGCTCCCCGGGGCGGTTCAGCGCAAAGAGGAGGCGTGTTCCGGCGCAAACTTTCCCTCATGCTATTTTGCTGTTCTATAAAACAATTGCGCCACTGACCAGAAAAAAACTAGTCTAAAGTCAGTGGCGCGTTGCGCGTTGTTCATAATGCTATTTTAAGCGCGCATGCTTGGCCATAATGTAGCGGGTGCACAACACGCATACACTTTGATTCTCTCATCAACACAGATGCAGCAGTTTTTATTTTTGCAAATCATGAATTATAACAAGGAAAAATATTAACACATGAGGGAAATCATTGTGGTGTCCATGAAGATGTAAAAAAAATGTAGTTTTTTTCCTCCCACGCCTGTTTAACCGACGCTGATTTGGGTGGGTTTCTCCCATCCCCATACAACGTCACTTCTCTGTCCTGACAAGAACGTCGGTCTCCTCGGCTGTGAACCGCTCCTGGCGCACGCCTGGTAAATCCGCCGTTATAATAGCAATCCGCCATGCAACATGCGCACCTGCTCTTAAAGGGTATGTTGGATGACGCTCTGATTGGTTTATTTCACGTTACGCCCAAACCACACCTATGAATAGGTTACTTCAGACCAACCCCTACTTCAGACCAACCCCTTTTAGATTTGCTCCAGGCGCAAGAGGCATTTATCCCGCCGGGAAAATAGCAACAGCGCCGGGATCCGCCCACAAAGTTACTTGCGCTTTGCTCTTTGACACTTGCGTTTCAGATCGTTAAAATAGGGCTCATTGTGTTTTGCGGTAGGTAGTATGCCATACGGAACCGTTGCCACTGAACGCTTTAACGACGACAGTGGGGCTCGACAGCCAGGTTCAAACGGGTTGGTGCGTATGGTTGGGTTGTGGAGAGATTGTGAGATTGCGGTTAGGTCACACGTGAACTACGAGGAAGGAGCAACCTCAGCAGCAGGAGGGATGTAAAGGTCAGTAAGCTGGGCTGAGTTGAGTGGGGGACGGAGGGGGGTGACTCTGGGACGCCGGAGTCACTATCGAGCCCTCTTGAGGTGTCGTGGGCTAGTCGACGAAACACTGAGGACGGAAGGTGCCCACTTGAAGACCCTAGAGATGTCCCCTACTCGGCTCAATCCAGACGGTTGTCGTGCTGGTCCACTGGGGAGACCACACTGTAGTTGCAGCCGTTGTGTGTACTGACACGCCAAGAATACTGCAGCCGTTAACGCCGGACAGAAGGAGATTCACATCACCATATGGAAGGAAGCGTAAATGGATGGAGAAGCATAGGTTACTATACGTCTTAGTTTGTGCTTATCTTGGCGAAAGTCGAGTACAAATCAGCATGAAGTTTTAACATCTACTCTCGTGTAATGGAAATCATAAGGCATGATTAAAAAAAATCACAGGAAAAAAAGTTTAAATATGCTATTTTGATGATCAAAGATGAGTTTTAAGGGATAAAATGATTGACTTCAGGGGGACTTTAACTTAATAACAATACATTTACCATAAATTATATAAGTGACAGTATGTTTCAAATAAGTAACTAGATAAGAACGTTTGGGGTGTGAGTGTGTGCAGTTTACGTTTGTGGTAAGGTTCAGAGTGGGGCAAGGAAGAAGACGGGGGTCGGCTTACTAGGACTCATAAAAACTTTTATTTTTTCTTCTAGCACTCTTCAAAACATAAAGTAAAATATAGGTGCTGAGTGCAGCCACATCAAATTAAATCAATAATGTTTTCAGTGTTCGTCGGTTTAACTCGGCAGTTACTCTCTGCTCCAGCCATGCTTGCGAGTCTTAGGCCCTGTTTACACGAAAACGATTCCGGGTGAAAACGTAATAATATTTTATCGGATGTGCCTTTCGTTTACACGGCGACGGCGTTTTTGGGCCTTAAAAACGCAAAAAAGTGAAACCACCCTCCAAAGTGGAAATCTTAAAAACGCTCCACCGTCGCGTTTCCGTCTAAACGGGTCAAAACGCAAATCTGCTCATGGCTGCTCTCGTCGCGTACGCATTTACGTCACAGGCATGCGCCAGTACAGGAAAATAACAACCAACATGTCGGATTATTTCCATACGTCGGACCTTCAAGTTGCCCTAGCAGCTCTGATAAACGTCCAAGAGTCTTTTCAATTTCGCGCTACTAGGGAGAGAAGTAGAAGGAAGGTTGTACGCAGGCGCACGGACTTGTTGTTGTTGTGTGGCAGTGCTTCACATTGCCACCTAGCCGCCTGGAGTGCATACTACATCGCATTTCTAACACTTTTGCGTCTCCATATGCACGCAGATTTCCCCCCCATAACGCTCGTCTAAACGCAGAATAAAAAGTGAAAACGAAACGCCACTTTTGCGTTTTCTCTTCAGATCGTTTCCGTGTAAACATGGCCCTAGTTTGTCTCTCTCCCGTTCCTCATTTCCTGTTGATGATCAAATGATAAACACCTGTCTCTTGTTTCAGTAATTGGGGTGGAGAGACAGGTGTTTATCATTTGATCTTGGCCTACTTACCTACATAGCAGACCTAGGTAAACCCCCTTGCCACATCCGCCCCACTCAGGTCGGGAGCCAT